ATTTCATCGAACACCATATATGCATGGGTGCACCTAAAACATGTAAAAAAATATGATAAATAAATTCATCAACAATACAACAAAGTGACGAACATGAAATGAGGAGAAGAGATAAATTGGCTGAAATATTGTCTGAGGATTCAGAATGGCCAAAGTATTCATTTGTGGGTCTCCTAGAATGCATTTGAGGGCCGATAAGAGAAAGGATAGCTAAAACTAGAGTGGTAGTCTAATAAGTTTCACGGAACTATTCAAAGTTAAAGAAGGAAGAGTGGATTAAACACCCTTACGAACAAAAGATAAGGTCTTGAGGGTTGCAAAAAAATCAAATAGAATGTATTGTACATGGCAAACTCTTGTGGTATCTCCCAATTTCTTGAGAACTTTTCAGAGAAAATGTAGCTCAAGATTTTGCTCCTACTATTGGTATATACCCAATAAAAGTAGTAGTACTTAGAAGAGTTGCACTTTTAACAAAAAAAATTAAGAATGTTAAACAGCCAAAAAACAGATCAAAGTAAACGAGGAAGAAAATTTAAACGAAACTAAACAAAGCATTGACCCCATTCTGAAGACCACCACTATGGTGTAGTAGTCTGGACCTTAACATCTTACTTGCATCTAAACTAAAAAACTGAAACTGAACTAAATAAATTAATACTACGTATAATTTTCTCATTCAAACATTTCATCTAGCACCTTAAACACCATATATGCATAAAACGGTGCACCAAAAACTCATGTCAAAAACAGAAAAATAAACTCAACAACAATAGAACACATATGAAATGAGTAAAAGAGGTAGTGTACCTATATTATTAGAGTGCCAATAACATAAAACCATACTTTGATTGCAGTTCTCTTACTTTTCTAGATGAGTAGCGTGTTAATTAATATCCAAAACTCCATCTTGCGAATCTGTTGGATTGAAGGTGCGTAGTATTTGGGGGTGAAATATTGCTCACATTAAGATATGTAAAACTCTTGTGATTCAGCCGAGGTAATATCTAATACGGAGTAGTACGCAATATTGGTGAGAGTGCGGAGAAGATGGAAAGCAAAGGGGTGTGAAATTTCGTTCATTTGTAAGCAAAAAACACCTAAACACGAGGGAGCCCAGCAGAATATGAAAGGAGAAAACTTGGAAAGAGAAACACGTAGATTTATTTGAGGGTAGAATTGTGCTTCAATAAGCTGTCTATTTTCTCATAGATAAATAGATTTTATAAAGCTAATGAAAATTTTCCATTAGATAGAGAATTGAAATACTTCATGTGAACTGTGAAGTCTAATCTAACAATATGATATTCTCGAGCGCCGGTTAGTATCCTTAATTTGTGTTAATCTAATGTCTGCATGATCAAGAATTGACGAACCAAAGGGATTTAAGTTTTTGCTTTGACACTAACCCATTTTTCAAGAATTCAGTCTTGACTAAAGTTTATCACATGTACCATATGATTGACGAAGATGAACCAATTCCAGAGAAAGCAATTGGGACTAGGATGTAATGGTATCCTAGGATATCTTTGACACAGAAGATACTAAAGAAGAAGCCTAAGAAGGGATCTAAGAATGCTAAACCTATCACTGAAACTAAAAAGTGTGACAGTTTCTTCAACTTCTTTAGTCCGCCTCAAGTTCCAGAGGATGAAGATGCTGCCAATGAGCTACAAAATTTGATGGAGCAGGACTATGACATGAGTCAACTATTTGAGACAAAATCACTCCACATGTTGTGTCTTGGTTCACAGGCGAGGCTGTTCAAGAAGGGTTTGAAATAGATGATGAAGACGACGAGGAAGATGAAGATGAGGAGGAGGATGAAGACGAGTAGACGACGAGGAAGATGATGAAGACGATGAAAAAGAGGAGGATGAAGATGCTAAGCCCAAGCAAAAGTCTCCTGCTACACACAAGAACACCGTATGGGCACATACAATACGTGGATGGCCAGCAGGGTGAGCGATCTCCTGAGTGAAGCAGCAGTAAGAAGTTCTCATGGTTGGTATGAATGGGATGGGATGGAGAACTGGCTTAGTTTGTGTGCTGGTGCTTTTGTTGGCTTGAACGGACAAAATTTTGATCCGATTGCAAATCTTGCGTTATGCTCCCTCTGTCCCATAAAACTTGGTTTGACTTGCACTTAGATTAATAAAGTAAAAACTGTGTGGTAGATATTTGTGCAGATGTGAGAGAAATAATTTTTGCCACATATTTGTTACTTTAAATGGAAATGACCAAGTTTTTGGGAACGACAAAAAAAGGAAAGTTGCCCAAGTTTTATGGAACGGAGGTAGTACTTTATACAACCTCCCTCCCGAAAAGTTCGTCATATTGACTTTTATTGATCAATGATGGCAATTATCATCTCTACTCATATTATGTCAAAATTTCTTCTCCCCTAAGCTTCTCAAATTTGAATGCAAGACTTTGTATACGTCAAATATGCTCTATTTATTTTTAAAACACTATATTCTTGTTGTATATTCTTCCGTTTGAAATCTTTTATATCTCGTTGGAAAGATCCTTTTAAGTTGTATACGCATATTCAAACTCTATTCACAATGTCTTCCGTTTCAAATCTTGTTGTATTTTATTACGTTTTAAGCATTTTATGTCACATTTACAAAAATGTTTTGTATCAAAGAAATAATCGAGTTCTAAACTCCTATTCGGACTATATTTTCAAAATATTAAAGGAAATATGTGTTTTACTTGGGAATTAAAATTATTGCCAAGTTGGCTATGAATCAAACCAAATAAAATTAAAATATGAAATTTTATTTGTTAACCATTACACATTAATCACAATACCACTACTAATCTTTGATTTTCTAGTGTTATGAAACTAATAATTTGTTTTATATGTATTACAAATTTCTTATTAGATGTTATTATGTTTGTAATTTAGTTTAGTTTACTAAATTTATTGATCTATATAGCTATATTGATCTATTAATTATTTATATATGTATTTTGCAGTTTGTGCTAATTACAAGTAACTTTTTTTCTTGTATAACCTTAAATCTTATATTGAAAAATAAATATCAATCTCAAATGTACCTCATAGAGCGTATACATGTACTATGGAGTCTTTTTTCGAACCAACCACAAAAAATGTAAATTTAAAATATATACCTTGTCTAGATTTTTTTTAGTTATACGGATATGGAAAAACATTGTCAATTAAAAAATTTAATCAAGGAACACAACTTTTTAAAAAAATACACTTTTATAGACAATCTATAATTCTAGTATGTACTCTCTCTTGTATACTTGTTTTGTTCAACACATATTTATCTTTGCATTTTTATGTAATATATGTTAGGATTTTTCCATAAATATTATTGAAAAGGGGATAATTGAAAAAAGAGTGACCAGTTTTTAAAATTTCCAGAAATGTGACTAGTAAGCTTTAAACTTACAAAATTACCCCTAATTTGCAGTTACTTTATCTTATAGTTACATGACCTGCCACAGTGACACCCGCTGCAGCGACACCACCCGCCGCCACTATCCAGGGATCACCGGTGATCGTCATTGGTCACAGTGACACTTACATAGTGACACCTCCATAGTGACACTTCCACAATGACATTGATCACAACAACTCCGGCCACAGTTGCTTCGGTCACCACCGGCCACCACTACCACCGGCCACCGACCTCAACCCCCAATCCCCAACCCGAGCCCCAAACCTACAGCTCATCACCACGGTCATAACCACCGCTGCCACCCAATTACAGTGACATTTGAAACGCCGGTGACACCACAATGACTTGGACAACGCCCCCATCCTGCCGCCTTGACTCCTTCCCGCCGGTACCGCAGCCTCGCCCCCGGTGACACCACTACTGCCTCTGGCCCCTCCCACCCCAGCTCCCCCGCCACATCGCCCTAGCTCCAAGTCTCATCACCTCAGCTTCCTTCCCTTTCCCCAGTCCCTATAACTGGAATCCCAGCCCCGCTACTCCCCAGCCGCCGAAACATCATCGTGAATCTGGAACTTCGTTAGAGAGACGCCAGACAGAAAGAGAAGAAAAAGAGGCGGTGTAAGGCGATGGTGACGACGAAGACCATGGCAGGGAAGAGGGTAAATGCAAAGGAGAAGGTGACTGCCATGGAAGCTAAGGGGGTGACGACGGCCAAAGAATCTGAGGCGGTGGCGACAACCAGAGAAGCTGAGGCGGCGACGATATGTTGTTTTGTTTGTGGTGGAGATCGATGCCTCTACTTGGGTCTGCTACGTTTCTCCGTCGAAGGTAGCTGGTGGGTTCTAACTTCTAAGTTCAAGCGCATCAAGTGTGGAGGATAGATTAGGATTCACGGACTTTAAATTCCAACCACCCAATTTCATCACTTTTTTGTCAAAACCGAATTTTAGTTCAATTCCCTATCAAATTATTGCACCATTTAAAATCAAATAACATATATTTTGCTAATAAGATTATGATTTCATATTTTGAAATGCATAACGAACTGAACTTTCCCCTATCATTCCGCATAGGCATGGACCCAACCGGGTCGAACCAGATCGTAACTGGCTCGACCCGTTACTGTACAAGAACGGACGGGACCGGACCCAGATGGCCGGTTCCAAGCTTTAGCCAGGGTTGGGCGGGCCTGGCAGGCCGGTTTGGGGCCCACATTTATATGAACCAGACCGACCGGTTCAGGCCATTTCCGGGCCATTTCCGTGCCTTTTTTTTGTTTTTTCAATTTGTTTTCTTTTCCTTGGGTAGGGCTAGGTGTTTTGGGGAGGTTTGGGGGTGGGGGTGAGGGGGGGTCGAGGGATAACAAGAAAGCCAAAAATATATATACACTGAACAGACCCAGCCCAGTTTGGCCCAGACCCGGTATCAACCCGGACCATTTCCGGGGCCAAATATCTGGAAAAAAAGCACACCCAGGCCCTGCCCGGAACCGGACCTGGTCCATCCCTAAATCCGCATTTCCTCACTTGATTTAAAATCAAACCCGGACCAAAAAACCAAAACTCAACGCTAACATGAACTATAAATAAATTAAAGCAACACGGCAATAGAGTAACGTAAAAATGTATGAAGCTATCATAGGTTCAGAAAGTTGGAAAACTCCTTTCCATCTAGAATCGAATAAAACCAATTTTTGTTCAGATACCAGAGTAAAAATGTCTCAACAGATTCATGTATAGATGCAACGGATGGAATAGACTTCCAAATTTCAAGAGTCACTCCTACTTTGGGACTTGAAAAACAAAAATGTATTTCTTCAACGACCAAACAAATAGCCCACAGCAAGAAAAACAAAACAAAAACTTGATGTCTTGGAAGGGGAAAGTTAATAATAATGTGCAGCCTATGCCTTGACTCGACGATAAAACTTTTGCTTCTCATCAGTGGTTTGGAAACGGCCATGCCCGGTGTTTGAGGAGGTGTCAATAAACTTGAGGTTAATCTGTTCATTAGCACTGCGGGTGGTCTGTCTGAGCAATGACTGGCGAAGAGTGACAACCCTCTTCTTAGGACCAACGACACCACCCTTGATCATCAGGTAGTCCTCCTTCACAACACCATAATGGGGGAAGCCGCCCATGGGAGTGATATCCTTCTCAGTCCTGATCATCATTCAAAAAGAAAAGGGTGAGTTTTCATCATCCCTAAAATATCCTATATGATCAACATACAACTTTTGACTTTAGGCACAGTACAACTGGAAGAAACGCCATATCCTACAGCTTTCCAATATACTTGTTAGTTTACCAGATGTTTTCATATGTATCACAAGACAAAATTACACCAGGTGCAGCAGTTGACAGATTGGTCCTTAAGAAACTATATATATTAATTCCTAACACTTGTGTAAATAGATACTTTGTACAAAGTAAATAAACCAATAAATTATCCCTCCAATACACGTCAAAATTCACTTCAAAAAATATTCCCACAAAGAAGCAAGTCCGTATTAAAAATATATAGAAATTAAAAAATAAACTAATAAAAATGTGTCCCAAACGAGTTAAAGGACTCGAACACTTAGATTTTATTAAACCAAAAAACTAAATTTTCAAACCTTCAATTGATTATTTGAGAGAATTGAGTGATCTAAAATCAATAGCATACATATCTTGATGAAAAAAGAATACAATTTAATCGACAAGAAAAATGGCTAATTAAAAAGTACTTCCCACACGAATGAAACAAAGAATTTTGGTACGTGAGTATATGTGAAAATTTAATAACCTGTCATAGTCAGTTGACGCAGTATGGGACTCTTGTCCAGCTTTGCCAAGCTTATACACCTTCTTGTTCAACTCTGTACGGTGATGGTACCCATTCTGCCCTGCACGAGCAACAGTGAAGGAAACCCTGGCAGGGTGCCATGCTCCAATACATGCAACCTTACGAAGTCCTCTGTGGGTCTTACGGGGGAGGCGTGTGACACCCCAACGGGTAACAACACCTTCAAAACCTTTACCCTTGGTGACACCAATTATATCAATCATTTCATCCTTTTGGAAAACTGCATCCACAGGAACCTGCTTTTCAAAGAAACTATAAGCATAGTCCACTTTTTGTGCAATGGTCCCTCCATTCACCTGGATTTCCATAACGTGAGCCTTCTTCTGCTTCAGCCCCTTCATCTTTCTTATCTACATTACATCAAGGGTTTCATTTGATCAGAGACTAAAGAGAAGGGTTATGTGCTTCTAATATGTATTTCAATTTTAAGTTCTAGAATATAGTACTTGATAAATTAAAATAATGTAGAAAGGAATATAGTGCTTGGTAAATTAAAAGATAATTTTTACATAGATAGGACTGTAGTGCTTGGTAAATTAAAAGATAATTTTACGTAAATAGGAATGTAGTGCTTGGTAAATTAAAAGATAATTTTTACACAGAAAGGAAATTAGTGTTTGGTATATAAAAAGATATTTTATACATTTATTTTGGCATCTATGTCTTTGTGTAATACTTAGTATAAAATAAAGTCATTGAGTTTGAGCATATTATTTAATTTACCAAGCACTGCATTATTTTCTATTTTCAGCTTTTTATTCCATTTTTACCCATTTATATTCCACTTGGGATAAAATAACCCAGCTCCATAAAACACTCAAAAGCAACCAATATTTATAATAGCTTCATAGATGTTTGAAAAATGTGCTTAAACCTGGGTATGAGCTAAAACACGAATGACAGAGCAGTATTTTTTTAACTTCTCCAGCTGCGCCTGGATATCCTTCTTTCCCTCCTCTGTTTCGTATTTCCGTGAGTGGTTCATGAACGCCTTTTTCTTGGACTTGCACCAGTTTTTGTAGAACCTCCTTCTTAGCTCCTCACTCAGATGTTGAGCCCAAACAGTGTTTAGGCATCGAAGACCACGAGGCGTTTTTGTATAGCCCACTAGTCCCACAATGATCATAGGCGGAGTTTCGACTATTGTAACAGGCTCGCAGGTTTCTTTTTTGTGTAATTCTAGAAAAATCAATAGTTTAAGAGCAACGAATCATTAATTTTATAAAAGCAAAGTACAGAGAAAATTCAGAATTTGTCAATTAAGATGCATAACATAACGTAAAAAAAACAGAACGCGAATAAAATAATATGATACATACTTGATCCTGGTTTCTCAACTTCTCTCACAATGTGTGTCATGCCCGCCTTGTAACCCAAGAATGCAGTCAGTCTGCATGGTTTGGAAGGGTCGTCCTTAGGAAATGCCTTCACTGCATATGAAATATTGACTCAGCGAATGTGAAGACGGTAGATTTGCATTTCAGACAATGCAGACATATAATTCATTCATTCATTGAAATGGAATCTTGTTTTCAACAACCAGGAAAAAAACAGCTACACCATTTAACAAGCACAAAATCCACAAATGTATATTATCTAAAACATAAATTGTATTAATGTAGTAAACAATGTAATTTTCAAATAAATAGTAACAGTTGAATGGATAAGAGGAATCAAATGTTATTACTTTCTCTACTCCTTCATAAACGTAAAGGTAATATTAGTATAAAAGAAAAAAAGCAGTTATAATAGACAAATGTGTAAGAAAGTATAGAACAAATATGCTCATACACTATGGGTTAATGTTATTACACTTTCAGATAACAAATCTAGTACTCAGTGTGTAGCTATTTGGGCAAACTCGTGTAATAAATTACAAATAATAATACTAATAATAATATAATAATAATAATATATTTAATAACAGTAAGTTATTCTGGAGTAGATATTTGTCATCTTATACAATATCTTTAAATAAAAAATTGTGACCACACACATAAAATTTCACACTCCCTCCGTCCCACTAGAAGGTTCCCACTTTCTTTTTTGGAAATCCCATATAAAGGTTCCCATTTCCATTTTAGGAAACAATTAACAATCCTAAGTGACAAAGTATTTTGTTTAATTATAGTCCAAATAACCGAGCAGTTTTGCTATGAGAACCTTATAACGGGATGGAGGTGGTATATAATATCTCTACACAATGCTGATCATATAAATACAGCTAAAACTATTTATTGAAATAAAATTCTCAAAGGTTGTTTGAATCAAAATATTTTTCTGAACCCAGTATTATCAAGTAAGAAGACAGCTTTAGTTGAGAAGCACGAAACAACTTGAGCTACTTTTTATTGCTAACAGATTCACGAATTTCCGTTGCACTCTGTTTCTATACGATCTCTCTCTTCTAATATTTAGACACAAAAGCTAATCACTATATTATAAACAGCCAACTGACACTGTTATTTGAACAAATAAAGGACGAATATATAATTGAATCAAATCAGGAAAACAATCATGAGATGTGAAGAAAAACAACCAACGAAGTCATACCCTTTCCCCTGTGTCGAGAAGCGCGTTTCCTAGGAAGAAATCCAAGGGAACCATGTCTAGGGTGCTCAAACTTCCTGTGAGACATCTTCCCGCTCTTGCTTACAACTCTGCAATCGAACAATAATCAAAGGAGAATTAAATCAACGAAAAATTTGGCTAATTTCAAGCCATTACACTACAATCAAATCGGGGTTGAGCAAATCGAAGCCAAAATAATTTAACCTATAAACCAAGACTCGTGAAATAGAAAGAAGATGAGACCTTTTGCTAGTCGGCCACCTCTTCCTGGCGAGCTGCTAGATAAGAGCTTCAACCCTAACAAACCCAAAACCTTACATGAAAGCAGGTTATAAATAAATCCAGTAGGCCATACATGATGGGCTGAGGCTGGGGCTGGGGCTAGAACGAGGTGTTTCAAAGCCCAAATGTGTTTGTTACGGAAAACTCAGGAGGCGGAAGCAGCTACTTAAATACGGTAGCAAAAACTTTAATTAATACATATTTTATTGTAATAAGGTGAATAAAAAAATAGTCAATTATTATTTAAAAAAACATTGACTTTTAAAAAAATGTGTAAATACATTACGTGTAAATACGATATTTGTTACAAAAATTTACATAAAAAAACGGGTTTTATTTTGAGCATTTAAATTATATAAACCGTAAATTAACAAAAGAAAAGTTAACACATATTTAAAAAAAAACTATAAATACACATATATCCAAAAAAAATCCTACACATATTCTTCATTTCTCTCTACTACTCTGATACTCTCTAATCATCTTCATTCTCATACTCTCCAATTTTCTCTACACAATTCTATAATCTTATACGAAGTATTTACTTATATTAAAATACTTCCTCCGTTCTTTAATAAGTGCAACACTTTCCATTTTCGGCAGTTTCAAATTAAGTGCAACCTTTCTATGTTGGGAAAGAAATACAAAGCCAATTGACTTTTATACCCTTCATTATTTACAACCCTTCCTCTTCCATTTTTGACTTTTTCTTTAATTTCTCCACCCACCCACGATTCATTCTTCTTTACCGCTCCTTCCACTTTCGTCTGTATATCATCTACAATTCTCTTCACCGACTCAACCAAATCTCCATATCTTTCCCATCATCTCCGTAATTTTTTTTTCTTTTCTCTCATTTGTATTTTAATAATGGCCGAAACAGAAGACATGGATAACCATTAAACCGATTTTGCTCTGATTACTTCCCCACAAGCTGAGAGACACGACGGTAATGGTGGTCTCTAGGCGGCGACCGACTGCTGCGGTGTCCGCGTGGGATGACGATTGGTGGAAGCGGACGAAGGGGTGTTGAGCTGGCTTCCCACCATGGGATGATGGAGTCGCTCACCGGAGTTTAGGCGAGATTCAAAGGGGGTCTTCCGAAAGTGAGCAGAACACCCGGCCGGGCATGCTGTTTTATTTCTTGGCTGTAATTATTTTATCCACTTTTAGGTACTATAGCACTTTCTTTGTGTGGCGGCTACTTTCTTATGTAGAAGGGTAAAATAGTGAAGTCCAACCCCTTTACACGGTCTCTTAATCTTTGTGCCCAAGTGCATGTTGCACTTATATCCGAACGGAGGAAGTATATTATATCTATTTATTTTAGTTATATACTTATATCTACTTATATTTAAATATATATATTATATCTAGTCATAATATTTTACTTATATCTACATATATTTACTTATTTTAGTTCTATTCTATTATTTACTTATATTTACATATATTATATCCACTTATATGCTTATTGTCTACTTATAGTTACATATATTATACGGAGTATAATATATTTGTATCAGTAATATACTTATATCTACTTATATAGTTACTATCTACTTATGTTTACATATATTATATTTACTCATATATTATGTATATAAATTAAAGTAATAAATATAAGTATACTACTCATGTTATAGTAGTATACTTATATATATTATATACTATTAACATTATATTACATATTAGTTACTTTAATTATACTTACACTAAATTATTAAGTATAGTATTTACTTTATAGTATTAGTGTATTACACACACACACAACATACGAAATATATTTATATTACAAATTGTATTACCTCCGTCCCAAAAAACTTTGTCGTTTCAAAAAACTTGAAACATAATTTTGATTAGTATAATATTATGTAAGTTATAATTTTTATACTTTTATGAAAGTACTTTCAACAAAGAATATTTTTATATATTTTTTATATTGTAAATAATTTCCAATAAAAATACATAGCTGGTCAAAGATTAGAAATTGGCAAAGTTTTCTAGGTACGTGTGTCTTCCATGCCCTTCTCGGGGGCCTTTGAGGTCACGTCCTCACCAGCTCCTTCATCTTCATCTTCAAGGTCGCACTCCCTTATCAGCTCGGAGTCTTCGAGGATCGGCCACTCTACATCTGGGGCAAGGGGATCCTTACGTCCGGTTGGCGGGGAGGCAGGCCGTAGGTTTCTGGCTCAAATTGCTCTGGGGGCACACCAAAGTGCCTGGTCAGCTTCCGATATATGAGGCGTTGGGTGAAGAACTCTCCGCCCTGATAGAAGGAATTGCCCTTCTCGGCCAGTCACATTTTTCCGGGGCCTTCCACCCAGGCATCGGCACTCTGCTGCACGACCGAGGCCACCCATTCCTTCCTATCTTCCATCTACCAGCCCTCGGAGACGAAGGCAGCAACAACAGTTTTTTCAGCCTTAGCCACCGCCTCGACTTTGCCCCTCTCGGCGGCTTCTGCAGCCACCTTTGCAGTCTCGTTAGCAATCCTCTCGATTTCAGTCTTTCCCTCGGCCTTAGCAACCTCCCGCCATTGATCCACGCCCTCCGTCGCCAACCGGAGGGCCGCTTCTGCTTCTGCCAGCTTTTTCTTGAGGGCAGCGTTCTCTTCGTCAAGCTTTTTGAGGGCCTCATCTGCAGCGATCTTGGCCTTCCTCAGCTGCTCGACCCTCCGAAGGTGCTCGCAAAGGCTAATATAGCTCTGCAAGAAATAATTAGTCATCAAACCATTATATTGTGATAAAGGCAAATGAGGATATTGCAGATCAGACACTTACGGAGGCACCGTTGAGAAAGACCCTGGACTCGAGGACGTCATCCTCCATCCTAGCGAGCAGAGACCTATCACCCGAAGGCGTCAATCCCCTCATGTGCTCCATGTGGTTGAGGGTGGCAGCCAGGATGGAGATGCCCTTCTCTATTGAGACCTCCAGAGTCTCTCGCCCGAAGAGCGTCTCATCAATGAACTCCGGTGGCGAGCGAGGGGGCGTCGTCACATCGTGAGGGGGGTTGGAAGAAGAATGACAACCCTCCAGAGTGACAGGCTTCTTCCTGGTGTCACCCGCATTCCACTTCTTCGTCGAGCGTGTAACGCCTTTTTCGGCCCTCATCTTCTTCCGTGCCGCCTCAGTCCGGCAGCCCCCAGTCTCTTCACCAACAACGGCAGCCTTCGAGGGCTCCTCACCCCCTTTCTTGAAGAAGGCATCAATCAGCTTCTTCTTGTTCTCGGCCTTACCCAATTGCTTCCTCAAAGCGGCGAGGGCCTTCACACCCATATTAGCACCTGCAAGATAACACAAATTAATGAGGCCGAGGGGGTCAACACAATAGCAAAAACGGAAATATTAAAATATTTCTAAGTACAAGAAAGTGAAGCCTTCAGGAACCACCTCCGGCACTTTCATATGCACGGTCAATCAAGGGGTATGATGGAGTATATGACCCAGGGACCGTCGGCCCACAGACTCCTACTTTGTAACACCCCGGCCCCGTAGGCCCCGAGGTAGTTACTTCTGACCTCTAGTACTGTACTCGCAAACCGTCACTAGCCTTTTCCGCGCACTTTGTCTTCACTCGTGCGCGCCCTGAGAAACTTCCCAGAGGGTCACCCATCCCAAGACTACTCTCGTGCAAGCACGCTTAACTTTGGAGTTCTTGGCTAATGAGCTCCCTTAAAAGGAGACGCACGTTGTTGATATGAGTAGTACTATTAATCCTCTTAAATTAATCTCGGGTATTACAATCACCCCCACTTAGGATCGCAACGTCCACGTTGCGCCCTTAACACTCTCAATCAAACCCCAAAATCTTGCCCCGCTAAGTGCCCGCCCGATATCCATCGGGTCAACACACTGTCGTAGGGTTGCTCTGATACCTTTTGTAACACCCGGCCTCGTAGGCCCCGAGGTAGTTACTTCTGAACTCTACTAGTACTGTCCTCACAAACTGCCACTCGTCTTTTCCGCGCACTATGTCCTCACTCGTGCGCGCCCTGAGAAACTTCCCAAGGGGTCACCCATCCCAAGACTACTCTCGTGCAAGCACGCTTAACTTTGGAGTTCTTGGCTAATGAGCTCCCTTAAAAGGAGATGCACCTTGTTGGTATGAGTAGTACTATTAATCCTCTTAAATTAATCTCGGGTATTACATACTTCTCCTACACAGGCCCATCAAACCCGATGAGCACACAAAGCCCAAACGTAGCGGCCCAAGCATGAAGAAGCCCACGGTGCATATGTGGGCGCCTTCGGCCCTGTGGCCGAAGGCTCTAAATTCTAGGAGACAACTTGAAGTGGACCTGCAAAGCTTCTGGAAATTTCTGGCTAAAATGTTAGCCTTCGACTATTCGATACCCTCGACTGTATATAGCCTTTGGCCACATGATGTCTTCAGCCATATGATGTCGGCGGCCACACGTAGGCCTTCGGTATACAGCAGACTCAACAAAGATTCCTTTTAAAGACAGTCAACCACCGCATTTAATGCGGCATCACGTCTAACCACCGCATTTAATGCGGTGCAAATGCAAATGTCAGTGCCACCCCGATTGAGGTGACCCTCGACCGTCGGATGCTTGACACATGTCCCTGTCTAGCATTTATGGCTACTATAAATAGCGACCATTTTCCCTTGTAGTCGACACACAACTGATATATCAAATATACACTCCTTCTATATCTTACTTTCTCTGACCTCTCTCTAAGTTATTAGTCATAATAACCCTCTGGATAAGCTACCCCCGGGTACACTATCCATCATTTGATGCTCTCGTTGAGAGGTTGAACAATCAAGTAAGAAACCCTCCCCTTCAAAGGACGAAAAAATCCTTCGAAATGAGAAGAGCCACTCGTGCCCAGTCCAAAATCCTTGAAGACAAGAACCTAGCCCTCGGCGAGGTCGACGCCCCCGAAGCCTCCAACCGGGCTCCTGAGGGCGGAGCCATCACCGGTTTAGAACAGGCTGCCATTGACTTACGTCTCCAGCTCTAGAAGAATGCCCCCGATGCCCGCCTCAGTATCGAGAATCAGAGGAAGGACCGGAGAGAAAACCAAGTGAGTCCTCCGGTCCTCACTATTGACGTGCAGTCAACATTTTCTGCCTTCATGCAGACGCTCACCTAGAACCCTGGGGC